TAGTAGGTGGTATGATGATAAAGTGAGCCCAAATAAGGAGTACGAGAAGAAAGATTTATAGAGATCATTGCATGGTCAGAACCACCTAAGGGAGAAAAGGGAGAAACTGAACATAAGCTAGGGTCAGAGACAAGACATAAGTCAAGGAGTGAAGGTAAATGATTAGGGTTGTCAGGAAAACGAGTCACAAAGTTAACTATCTGAGTAAGAGATTGAGAAACGCAGAAGTTAAAGGCTTTAGTGCCAGCAGGATCAGTGGTGTTAGAGCCGAGCCATTCAGTGTGATGGGCATTAAAATCACCAACAACAACAATATTGGCAGAGGGGTTAAGAGAGAGGGCATGGTCAATTTGATCAGAGATAACATCTAAAAGAGTGCAATCATGGGAAGAAGAAGAACGATAAAGAACAAAAAGAAAGGTGATAGAGTGAAGAGGTGCTAGGCGAAAGCACATAAAAGAATGGTCAAAGGATTCGAACCTGACTTCACGACAAATAGGGAAATTAATATATATATATATATATATATATATATATATATATATATATATATATATATATTTATATTTATATATATATATAATATATATATTTAAATATAATATATATATATATATATATATATATATATATATATATATATATATATATATATATATATATATATATATATATATATACATATAGTGGAAATAGCTAGGAGAAATAAACTCATATAAATAGGCAAAGGCTAGGAGAATCAAACTCAGATTTAGACTTACCCTGCCTTGGTGCTTTTAGTAGAGTAAAGGCTAGAGATGGTGTCTCCAAAAAATTACTCACCTTGGGCACTCATCACTAAGCTGGATCTCCTTGACTCTACTCATAGATTTTTTCTTTTGCCTTTTTGATAATAGCTATGCAACTCTTCCTGTTAGTTTTATAGCTGTACCCTAATGAGGATACAGCTCTAAAACTGAGTTTAATGGTTCTGAGGCTGGCTGGTAGTAGACAGGGGCTATTTTAGACTGTTTTCCACAGCATCAACCGCCCATCATTTCGACAGCATCAACGTTTTTTGCAGCTAATATTGTTTTTCCGCAAAAAAACATAAATTTTCCGCTAAATTTCTCCCAGATGGGAGGACATCGCTGCCCAAATTTTTTTCCTAGAATAGGCTCTTGCAGAGTTTCCAGAACACTGTGGTAACTATCAAAAAAGCTGCTTTCATCAATAACTGTAAAATATCAAAGTATTAACAGTGCACACCTGATGGGAGAGACGCCAAAGTCTTAAGTCTTTTTCCGAAGAAACCACAATGCAGGTGTGATACTACATGACATTGGGATCATAAATGTCAAAAAATTGAAATGGTTTATTATATCCGAGAAAATAAAACTAATTTTAAATTTTGCTTTATTTTGCAGCTAATTACGAAATGACAGCATACAGTATTTTTTGCATTTTTACAGTACACCAAATTTTTTTTACAAAATATAAGATTAAAAAAAAACATTGTTTATATTAATAACATGAATTCTTCTTGAATAACACTGTTTCAAACACTTTTGCTGTTGAAATTAACAACACATTCTTGAAAAAGTTATTCATACTCTGGATGATAGATCGGCCTTTTGTACCTTAACCAATGTGACTGAAACCGACTGTAAAGTGTCAGGACACTTTGTTCACTATAGATACCAAGGGGCTGGTTGGTCATTTTGATATAGTCTTTGATGTGGAAAAAAACGGTATGAACTTTTAAAGTAACACTACCCTTTTGTAGAGCAAGAAATGAATTACAAAACTCATCTATTTTTCTTGCACATGACTCTACCAGTTTTTTTCCCAAAGCATGCTGAAACAACAGTACTGAATGCTCGAAATGCCTTTATTATGCCAAAAACTTGAAATGCTGAACTTTTTTTCAGCAAGACTTTGAAGTAGATCCACATTTTTCTGAAGCTTGTGACAATCATTGCCTGCAAACTGACCCCATGGAACGGCTGGGGTTGGATATGAGGTGCCATCAACTAATTGTCTGCTTGGGACCAGCATTTCCTCAGTATTTTGTACAAATGATTGACAACACCCAGCAAAAGGTGAAGTTCCATTGGTATTATCAATTCTAGCATGAGAGTTTCCTTAGTTGCGGCTATAAGCGGTTCATGAATGACATTTCCAAATTTTTAAGCCTTTTTAATGTCAGAACCAGCCTCTCTAAATTTCCTTAGCAACTCTTTTATGGAGTTTCAGGATGAGCAAGCTGACTTGAATCAGCATTATACCAGATGCATGGATGTGCAGATGCATGTGACTGAAGTCTACATAAGATGTTGGCCAATTTCATGTCACACGAAATCATGTGCCTTATGTGCCGATATTGATGCATAAGAGGATTTCAGGAATTTCTTGATCAACATTTCTTGTAATATAATCCAGAGTTTCAAGTAAATTTGTTGTACATGACCTGTTTTTAACAAACCCATGTTATTGATTAGCTATAATATTATTTTTGTAAATATATTTTTCTTATTTGCTTTTTATTATGCCTTGAAGTATTTTAAAAGAAAAACAAGTAAAAGTTAGAGGTCTATAATTTCCAGAACCAGACTTGACACCTTTTTTATAAAGTGCAGTTACATTTGCTGAATTGAATTGATTTGGTAGTTGAGTTTATTCAATTGACTCCATAAAAATTTGTGGCAGAGGAAGAGTAAATGACACAGTTTTTCAAGATAGATGGATGTAACTTGTCGCTCAGTATGTGTTGTTTTGCTCAAGATTATTTAGCTGCATGGTTTTTATAGAATCTATAACATATTGTTGTGCATTCATACATCTGTATAAAATTTTTGGGTCTTTTTTGGCTTTATTCACAATTATTAAATCATACTTTTATCTTGATATGAAAAGTTCAAATGAAACTCTTTTAGGTAATTATTTATATTGGCTACAAAGACTTCAATTTTTTCATTTACTCAAACAATTTCTGTACATTAAACTCTGTTTTCTTCTGATGAGTGAGATAAGGTCTTTCTTTAGTTATCGTTTTTTTAATGATGAATTTACATATGATGTATAAATAGACATATATATAAATTATATGCTTCTTCAGTACAAGAATTAATTTGTCATACATTTCTTGAACATTTTTGGTATGAAAACACTGAAGCCAGGTAACAATTGTGAGAAAACCTAGAATTCTATTATAATCAGCTTCTCTATATAAAAATTTCTTTTGTTCTATATTTACATTCACAGCAATGACATTTATATTTGATGACTAAAGTGTGAATATTAAACGTCTACAGCAGATTTATTTGTTGTTTAAAATGTTGGTAAGTCTACATGCTATCTAATTTTTCATAAAAAGTGTTAACATAACAAATTAGATAAGAATCTTAATTTCTTGTAAATCCACCCTTGGCTACAATAACAGCTTTCAGGCATCAGCGTCACTTACTTTTTATGCAGACTTTTATGTTGTGCCTGAGATTGCGATGTCACTCTCTAATAAAAGTTTTTACTAACTATGGCTTTTTAGTGATGGTTTCTTAGGCAGTTTCCTGTTTTATGGATTCTAACAGATTTTCTATGGAGTTCATACCAGATAAAATCTATGGCCGAGGCAAAACATGAAAATTTTTTTCAACAAGGAAAGTAGTAACACCCCAATCTTTGTGGTGTGGTGCAGAGTCTTGCATGGACATATACACCTAATCAACAGAAACCATTTTTATCTTTAGGACAGGAGCCTGTTTGCAAGTTTTTGCTTGTACTGGTCCTATCTCATGGTCTCTTCCACACAGTAGCAACAACCCATACCTATACCCTTACCCAATCCATTCCCTTGTTTATATATATATATATATATATATATATATATATATATATATATATATATATATATATACATACATATATATATATATATATATATATATATATATATATATATATATATATATATAAAAGATATATATATATATAAAAGATATATATATATATAAAAGATATATATATATAAAAGATATATATATAAGATATATATATATATATATATATATATATATATATATATATATATATGTATATTTTACATATATATATATATATATATATACCATATATATATATATATATATATATATATATATATGAGGACCTTTTTTTTATATACATTTTTTTTACAGCAAATATTGCTTTCTTTGCAAAAAAAACACAAATATTCCGCAAAATTTCTCCGGAACAAGGAAGGGGGGAACCGCCACCCAAACTTTTTTCCTAGAATAGCCCATATATATATATATATATATATATATATATATATATATATATATATATATATATATATATATATATATATATATATATATATATATATATATATATATATATATATATATATATATATATATATATATATATATATATATATATATATATATATATATATATATATATATATATATATATACATATATATATACATATATATATAAATATATATATATATATACATATATAACTTATACTGCTGAGTTAGGTGAGCATGATGACATCATACTGAAATAGCCTGCTGCGGGAGCTTCAGTACATACATCGACTGACAAATAGCCTGACTTGCAGTGGAGTGCTGCTACATCGACTGAGGGTTTGAATATATATATATATATATATATATATATATATATATATATATATATATATATATATATATATATATATATATATATATATATATATATATTATATATATATATATATATATATATATATATATATATATATTATATATATATATATATATATATATATATATATATATATATATATATATATATATATATATATATATATATATATATAATATATATATATACATGTAAACAGTAACAGATATACTAAAGTTTTATGCATCTGTCAAGTTAGTTAAATAATAATTTTTTTTATAACATAGCTTGATTTTATGGCTGGTAAGTTAGTGGATATTTAAAACTTGTAATTTTGATGTGTACCTTTTGATTAATATTCACATTCACTGTAAATCCAGTTCCTGAAACACTAGATTCTTTTCTCCTTTTTAATCCCATATTTTTTACATCTAAATTTATGGATTTATTGAAGTTATGCTGTGTCTCAGTTGGCAAAATACGATTATTCCGCAACATAGTATTCTTTTGTTCATAAGGCAATTGGATTCCAGATTCAAACTCTAAATAAATAATCAATAATTTACTATTTACTATATTTACTAACAAACAAATTGAATTTATTATAATATTTTTTTATGATTTAAAAATATAATACATTTATTCATTTTAGAATATAAATTTATAATTAATGGAATTAAATTACAAATTTTTAGTAATACCTCTTATGCAATGAGACTGGGTCTTAAATACTCACAGATATCTAGACAGGTATCTATATAATCCTAGTACAATATACAGCCATCTGCATAACCCACTAAGGCCTAAGTTATGCCCCTCATGCAATATTATAAATTTGTGTTTAAAATTTTCTCCCATATTTGAAACATGTCACTATGGCACTTACTAAGTATGGTAGATGGTTTTATTTATGTTTCATGCTTAACTTGTTTTACCTAATTTGATTAACTTTCTTATATTTCTAAACATTTTTAATCTGCAATGTGTTATATCTGTAATATCTGTAATCTGTTATGTGTTGCTACTTAGTGTGAAAATATACTTTAATATATGAAAAATGAAAAAAAAATGTATAATAGTTAAAATAATATTAATTTATGTATTTTCATGGAACATTTTTGATTTATACCTAATATAAACTATATCAAACATCTTATTGATAAGCATACTGTAATTAATGTAAAAATATGAACATAAAAACTGAATCTTTAAATAAAGCAGTAATGTTTAGAGCACTGGTTTACCAAGCAAGAAATACAAATATTGAACTTTAAGCTATTATAAGGGTAAAGTTACAGTTATGCGGCCTAAAATAATTATATTTTTGCGCTTGTTGCGCCAGGGAATTTTGCTACATTGACTATCTTATAGCCTGACTCGCAACGGAGTGCTGCTACATTGACTATCTTATTGCCTGCTGCTACAAGGAAATGCTGCTACATCGAATGAGGGTTTGGCATGGGGCAGCAATCTATTTTCACTTTATTATTTCAATTATATTCCTATTGTTTGTAAACCCTCTACTGACAAGCGGAAAAATAAAATTATTTTAGGCCGCGTAATTGTAGGATTACCATTATAAGATAGACTTTTGTAAAAAATGACTATAAATATGCCAGACAAAATAATTTGTGTGGTATTTATGTAGTTTATACAACATTTCTATTTCAATTATAAATTACCATTAGTATTACCATTAAATAATCACTATTCCTTAAGGGATAGGTATGATAAATTCATAAAATTTATTGCATATGACATTAAATAATGCTCTTTTAAACTTTATAATGATATATAATAAGAGCATTTTAAAGTTTAAAAGAGCATTTTATAATGTAATCAACATGCCTAAATTTGCTTTATTTCTTTATCTAAAAACTGTATTATTTCATATTAAAGTCTATAATTTGTTGTTTTTTTTTAAAGTGATAAAATAAAATGCCTTCTTAATGTGATCATCGTTTTTTTTTTAATTAATAGATTGTAGCATTGCCATCACAATGATGTTTTTATAAGTTTCATAAAACAGTTGTTGACAGAAAACATTTAATAAACTAATGGGAACTTAAAGATTAAAAAAATAATAATAATAACAAAAACATGCGAAAAGAAATTAAAGTAACCATATTGAAGTTCAGATTTCCCATAAAATTCACCATTTTTATTTTTAACTCTCTCGGTAAAAAATAATTTAAATTTTACATTCTCATACGGCAACACCGAAAAAAAATTAATCGGAATTAATAAAAATCTAATAATTATTGTACTCTCTGATTAATATTATGTGTGTTATTTATAATATATAGTATAATATGTTAATATAGCGTAGTGTTACATAAATCAAGTGTGTCGATAGTTTAGTGAAGATCCAGATATTTTAAATCCATAATATTTAAAATGATTTTTAACTTTTTCTAATAATAATAAACTCTATTTAAAATGTTTTTACCTTTAATAAATATTTCTGGCTTATTTTTAAACGTATCAGCCATATTTTGTACTCAATCAAATCTATTCAAATATTGAAGTTTCCGTTACCTTGATTAGAAAACCTTCGTGAATTCAAAAAATCGAATTTGAATAATTAATTATCGTTAGTATCAAAGATGACGCTTTCAAAAAAAAATAATCATGGCAACAAAAATACTATTACTTTACGATTTCTATTTATCTTTATTAATGTAAAGTGTAGATGGTCTCACTGATAACATGTTTTCTTTATGTAAAGACAACATCTACACGTTACCTGCAGACAAGCAAAAATGATCGTCTATAGCATTAATAGCATTTAGCTCCGAAAAAAAAAATTAATTTCTAACAGATTACAAGCAGGTACAACAATAAAAAATTTGGTTTATCTTTCTCTAATAATAATAGTACCTCAAAAGAAAATTTTTAAAAAAAATCTAAAATGAAGTAATACCTAAAGCCATTGTTATCACCACATGTAAATTTAGCTGAAGGTATAACGTTCTAGCCGAGCTTCAGTCCGAATTTTCTGGCAAAAAAAGCTTTATTACCTTAGATATCAATGCTTTTTAAAATTTAGGATTTGTTTCTTAGAATAAGAAAACTAAAATACATTTACATTAGGTGATACTTGGTTTACTACCTATAACTTATACAAATTTTTCTGAACAAAATAAAATCTTTCTAAACAACTAAACACATGAAATCTTTGTGTGTATACTTTAAAAAAGTTTATTTACTTAGAAATCACATTTCTCCAATTATTTCAAGTTTCTTTCTGAAATCTTTTAGTATTTAGAAGAATGCTTAGGGTAACCAATGCCGGGCGAAATATCGACACCGGTAATTTATTATTATAAAAATTAAATATCGGATTATCAGTGATTATGCCGGTAAAAAGAGTTTTAAATCAAATTAACTAAGTTTACAAATTACGAAAAACTTGAAAATCATGCGAGAATAATTTTTCATCAAGCTTATTGATCTATTTGGTAAAACTTTTATCTTTTACTTCATAAAAGTACCCTTATAGAGGAGAGGGCATTTTTATAAAATAAAAGAGAATCCAGAGTTTTATAGTCCATTTGCACCGCAACTTGTTTAAAATTACAATGGAAGCAGAAAACCCCTTTCAGATTCAGCGCACTGTAAACTCTGTTGGAGATATTTTTATCGCGTAACTTTATCTTCAAAGAGCCTCATTTCTCTATTTAGACTTTATTATAATGCGAGCGCGTTCTAGTTGGTTTCCAACATCCGATAGTTCATTTGTCTACAAATGGCATTGTAACTCGGGCATCGATATCTTAGAATTTACTTTTTTATTGATCTCAACTTCACTAACCTCAAATTGAAGAATTTAACAAGCTTGTTTCTCAACAGGAGTTCTCAAAAACAGTGTTACTTCTGACTTACAATACCCAACAGTGAGTTAAGAAGACTCACTTTTGATAAACTTTAAAAATTTTTGTTTCTAATATTATCTACAAGAGATTTATGCAGATAGAAACTAAATTGGATAACTTCGTTCTTCTAGCAAAGATCTGTTCTTTTAACGCACTGATAAGTTTTTGATCAATGATGAACTGATTTTACAAAAAAGGTACATTCAGAGGCTTCAAAACACACTCGGTGTCGCAGACAAAACTTGTCCTTTTATTGGTTGTCCCATTTTTACCAAATTTATAGTAAATTCAGTGGTTTTCAATCTTTATATACCTCGGTTGCCCTCTAGACTTTGTCTACCCTATTGCAACGCCTCTAAGTATCATAAAGCTGAATGGAGAACGAAGTAAAAATGTCATTTTTCGCGGAGCCGGCATTGTACCGCAAAACTATCATAATTTAAAGTAAACCAACCACACTCTACTTTTTTTTTAAAACTATCCAATGATATTGTTTTAAAATGTTATTACAATCAAAGAGTTGCAAATAAAAGATAAAAGCTTAGAAAAATTGAAAAAGAAAATTTACTGGTTTTGAGTTTGTTTTTTTTTTAATTATCCAAAATCACTTCTAAAAAAGTTGCAAGCAACTACTATTTGGTTGGGAGATACTAGAAAACAAATAATAGAGTTAAAGAGCAAGGAAACGGTTGACATTGACTTAAAAAGTTGTAGGCTATATCAGCCAGGAAAACATGAAGATAGGAGAAAAATCCAAAGGGTTAAAGTGTGGGAGAAAAAGCTGACGAAATTTTTTTTTTTTTAAAAGTGTTTACTTTTTGATAAAAAAATTTTAAAGCATGCAGAGACAGTAAAAGCATGAAATTTTTCTGAATGACGAGTTAAGAATGACTTTTCTGAATGACGAGTTAAGTTTTCTAAATGACAAGTATGAGTTTTGGTTAATGGAGCTAGAGACAAAAACACCTTTGAGCAGCGACCATAGTAGTATTTGTAAAATAGAGAAAGAGATGAACTTTACGACAATGGAAGAAAGGGTCAAGTTTGGTAGATAAAGCAGGCCTAGGTATAAGGTACTAGGTATAAAACGCATATTTGAACCTTTTCTAAAAGAAAAAGAGCATCATCAGAAGGAGAGCCCAAATACGACAACATTGTTATATAGAAGGACAAATAAGAGATTTAGAAGGATAAATAAGAGGTAGAGAATGGAATCAGTAGTATTATAATGACAACCTTAATAAAAAGAAGCAACTTTAGCAAATGTAACTTTGCCATTAATTATATATATGGTTTCCATAAGAGGTCATTAGTGAACGATAATGCAAGAAGGTGTAAAAAAGAGCACTCAGTGTAAGAGTTGGCATTCATTAATATAGGAATGTTGACAGTGTTGCGATAGTTGTTTGCAGTAAATAAAACTGAGTTTTGTTGGAGTTAAAAGTGACTAAACGAAAAAAATTACCGACAAAGTGACTCAACAGCTAATATTACCAACATAAGTGCTGAGATGGATCTTTGATTACAACATGTTTATTTCTTAAAGTATCTTCTGTGCATTTGTGTTGCAACCCTCTGCCAATAATTGAAAAACTTTCTGAACACCTCTTTTTTGCTGTTGAAGAATGTATTCTAGCTGCTAAACTTTGTGCAAACTCAATTATCATTTGACCATTGTTTATCAGTTTTCCAATTGAACAGATCAAATTACAGTGAGAGTCTCGTGTTTCTGGTTAAAGTTTTATAGTCTTAAACTTATAAAATGATGGGCGTTTAATGTTCTCTCCACTTTCTTTCCTTCTCAAACAAGAGTGACATTTTCTACAAATTCCAAGTGAAACTTTGTCACATTAAAGTTGATTTTATCTTTCAGCATTATCTGACATCTTGCTTCTAGATTTGATGTTAGCTCTCCTTGACATTTGCTGAAACAAAGAAAACAAACAGTTTCCTGCATTCTTGGTGGTTTTTTAGCATTTTCGGTAAAATTAGATGTGCGTAGTTTAACTCTCATTGCTAAAGTAAAAACGACGCGTGTTTTCCCAGAAATCAAAAGTAGAAATTTTTTCAAGAATAATTAGGTCATAAGAATGTCATAGTTAAAATGGTTTCTTATTAATTTAAACAGTTTTTACATAATAATCATAAGTTGTAGAGTTACAAAATTTTGGATGTTTGTGCAACCAATAAGCAGTCATTTTGGATGTTTGTGCAATCAATAAAAGGTCATAGTAAACACAAGACGTGTTTAAAATGTCTATAATACAATTCAATACCTATTAACACGTTTATTAAATGTTTAAAACACCTTTTGTGCTTTAAATATATTTCCAAATTTATTATAAAAAGCGCCACGAATAAGATTATTTATATATTTATGAAAACATATTTTTATTAGATTTTTAGTTGCTTTGAATATCTGAAAAGACACTACTTTAATTAGTAACTGTATTAACAGTTTTTGAGTTTTTTAAAAAAATAGTATCTGTTTTAGAAAGTGATATACACGTTTCTAAAAAAATTTATTTTTTTTAAGAACATGACATTTTTGACTTTTGTCATAACCTGGCTCACTGCGCGCTTGTATCAGATATCGCATACAAACAGATACTCAGTGTAATTGTAACAATTTTTTTCAATACACTTACTTTAATAAAATTATAAAAATTTAAATGTAAACACTAGTTATCTCCTTAAACGAAAAATTGAGCTACTACGCATATAAGCATGAATTCAGTTATGCGTTTCTATAAATATATTTGACTTGTTTATTATCATCTATTAGAAATAAGGTAAATTGATAATAACTTTAAAGAAGTGTGCAAGTTAGTTTTGAATTTTTTATTTAAACGAAGCTAAATAATTCTATAAAGGTATTTTGACTACAGTTATTGTATTTAGATCTATTTGCAATTTTGTTTTTATATTTAACTTATTCACATAAGTATAGGGGTCGGAGGGGGAAGGGGGAGGAAGTTCAAGAGAGCAAAGTTACTTTAACTTATATTTAAAACATATTTAATATTTTTGTTAAAACATTAAAAATATAAAGTTTAAAAAAGTAATTATGTAAAGAAAAAATCTTTATATTAACAATTATGTTGAGAAAAACACTTATAAACTAACTTTCCGTACGATTGCCAATAGTTGCTGACTCTCTTCAGTGGTAATATTTATTACGGCCATATTTAACTTTGATAATATATTGTTGTTTATATTCTTTACTTACATAAGGTTTTTGTTCTGATATTAATTACAATGGAATCTTATATACAAAAAGTTATGGAATCTATTTTCCAAGTAAAATAAAAAAATGTAAAAACCGGGAAAAAAAGGTAATGTTTAAAAAATTTCTTTACTTAAAAATTCTTTAAAACTTAAAAATACAAAAATATATTTTTGTCTGTTATTTCAAAAAAGCTGTTTAACTATATATTTAAAACAAAAATATTTTTCAAGTACCGTTATACGATTTTTCAAATAAGGTATTCATTAAATATTATTCCTTTGATCTTAAGCAATGCAACTCTTTTTACTATAATGTTGTTTATCATTAGTTAAGAAAGTTTCATAGGCAAGTTATTGCATTCAGATTTATACTTAGTTTTACTGATATTCAAAGAGAGTTTGATTAATTTGAACCAAATTCGGTTTACCAGCTCACTCGGTCATTACCAATTTACCAGCTCACTCAGTCATTACGGTGAAAATAAAGCTCTTTTTTAGATAAAATCATGCTAAAATTGCAGTTGTAGAATATAAAATTGAACTTATTGTAAATGATGAGCAATTTTGCATTGCAGTCAGGGTGGGATTTACATATTCAGGGGCACTAAGCACTTAATCAAGTATGGTGCCCGAACATAGTTAACCAATCCTATAATCTATTCATCATACTGTCACACATTATGTAATTATGATGATGTAAGTTGTAAACAACATGTATGAGTATGATATAAACAGTTACAAAACTGCTACATTACTAGTAACTATTATAATTTTATAAATTAGACATTTCATTTCCTAGACTTTAAAAGCACAAAATCGTTGATTACATTGTCAAAGTCTACTGAAGTAATCAATCTGTCTCAATGCAGAGTAGAGACAGAGAGTCCAATCTCTCCTCCTTCATTATTGTTCTACATGGGTTTTTGAGTTTCTTAAGCTATGAAAAGGATCGCCTAGCAAAAAATATTTGTTAGCATAAAGGAAGGAAAATGCGAAGTGCAATATCCAGGTTTGGAAAACACTACGAAGTTCATCTTGAACAATAACATCATAAAGTTTAGCACAAGTGAAATCACTTTTGTTTCCCTGAAACTTTGAGCTGAGATACTTATGAAACTGCTGCAGTTCTCCAACGATGTCCATGCTGAGATCTTCCTGGTAAAAATAGACTAAGGTATGACAGCCTTTGAAATACTCTTCTTCGCTTAACTGTAGGTTATTGATGAATGAAAAGTGTGCTGACACATCTTAGTAAACTTTACTTCTTCTTTCCATTTCACTCGTCAGTTTGTCAATAATGCTGTGTAATATAAACACTCTAAATGTATCCCTGGCGTTTATGTCTTCCAAAATATCAGCTGCTAAACCAAGCTTGCTTTTATCTTCTCCTGATTCGATTGCTTTCTTCTTCTCCTGATTCGATTGCTTATAGTCAACATCTGGTAGTATTTCTTTGGCAGTCTTCTCATATTTATCAAAATGGTCCCTCATGATGGTCAGATAAACTGCCAAACTCTGATAGAGATTTTCGCACTCTGCCAGATTAAGTTCTTTGCGTTGGAATGCAGTACTTGTTTTATGAAAATGTTGCAGTATATCCTACCAAGTTACCAGCATCAACACAAACTCCAATTCCATCATTTTATTAGCTAAACTTGCTACCTCTCGCACAGTGTCACCTTTCTGTAACTGGTCGTCAGCAATGCTCTCCAGTGCATCAACTATTGTCGTATGATTGTCCTCTACACTTTGAGAAATCAATTTCACATACTTTGCACATGTGCTGCAATACATCATTCGCCATATTTTCACCTGTGTGACTTTTTAATACGAGAAAGTTGAGAAATCTTTCTACTTTTTGACGACTTTTTTTTTTCCAGCATTGCCTTATCTGGCAATGTGTTCAGTCAAAAACCGGTCAAGCTGTGATATTAGTTCTAGTATTCCCAAAAGATCACCGTTGTCAGTTGAGCTAAATATTTGATGGGATCCTCGAAAAGATAGGCCTATTTCTTTCAAAGTTTTCATAACAGCCACAATGCGCTTTAAAACAATATGCCAGTAATCTCATTCTCTTTGCTCCTGTTCATCAAAACTTTGAGTCAAACCTGTATACTGTCTTCTGATTAAATACGTAAGAATTGCTTCTTGAGGGAATGCACAAACTGATTTATGGAAACGTCCAAAATGATGTTGACAGTCTGATAATCCTTTGTTTATACAATATGCCACATCATCGTTGTCAAAATCCTGTCATGTACTAGGATCATAACCTCTATTACAATTACTACTGGATTTCTGTGATGTCACTAATGTGCAAGTAGTCGCCAGCTTGTCATCGTCATCATCTCTTGGCACATTACAGACTTATTCACAATAAGTTCTGCAGACGTTGATTCATTAATTCCACTTTGACCTGTTATTTTTATTGCATCAGCAGTAACAGAGTCATCGTCTGCAGCTGCTACTGCTACAAAATTATCAGAATGTGCTGCATTATTGTTCGTATTTAGCAACAATATAAATTTCAAATTTCCTTGAAAGAATGAAGTCAGTTTTGGCATTTTTTGAACAACAGCTTCTGCCTTATGTTTCATTTCTTCTGCTTGTTTTTGTTTCTGTGCCCCACTTAATAGTTGACGCTTCAATATTTATTTTAAACTTATTTGAATTTGAATTTTAAGATAACTTAGTTACAATATGGAAAAGTAGAGATAACACATACATTTTAAGGTCCTTTTAAGTTGAGAAAACGCATACATTTTAAGGTCCTATACTAATAAACACAAAATTTTCAAAATGCATTTATATTTAATGATTTTTAGATATAGCATTTCATATTTAAAACATAGAAAAGTAAAAAAAATATTTTGGTCAAGATTTTGGGTCCATGGACACTAAATATTAACTACGAAATGCGATAAACAGCTTGTAAACTAATTATGGTATAACCATTAAATTTTTACAGCTTTTTAATAACAGATGGTTGCACTCACCCTACTAAAATAAAATAACTTAACAAACTATTTATGATTTTATAAGGAAACCGGTTCAAGGGCTAAAAAAAAGCCCCTAAAAGGTTTCGAATGAACGCTTAATTTTTGGAACCGGTTAACTAATATGAATTATTTTGTTAAGGTAAATTTTCATATATGCAATAAACAATACCTGAAAATTTCAACACAATCAGGCAAACCAATCACAAGATATTTATCGTAGCGTGCAAAAAAGTCACATTTTGAGAAAAACACAATATATATTAGCTATATATTTTAATTAGTTTATTAGTTTATTTCGCCGTTAAAAATATTTACAAAGTACAACAATATAAAAAATATATAATATACAATATAAAAAACATATAGTTGTTAAGACACAATATTTGTATCAATTTTCACAAAAAATACTAGAATACCGATTAAGAAAAAGCTGATAATTAAGAAAATTGCCAATAAACGATCAGAACAGATTATTTTATTAAACTATGATGTTCATTTTAAGTAAACGACGTATTTATTTAAAATCTTATTCAAATTTGGACAAGGATTGTGATTTTAAGAAAATCTTTTTTTTTTTTTACAAAAGAATCATAGGTCTGGGTTTTTTCGCTACAAATATTAATATTTCATAATACCACAAAATTTATCATTTTAATTTTTTCCGTCTTTTTTTTTTTTCATAATTCACAGACCTGATCATTTATTGGAAATATGTCTTAGACAACAAAATATCATACAGACGCTATAATATTTTAAAATTGTCTTAACTACACCGACTATTATAATACAATATAATTACAAAAACATGAAAGTTAAACTTTATAAAAAAATAATAAAAAACCTAAATCTAAAACACTCCTGCTTCATAAGATGAAAGGCAACGCTTCCAAATAACAACATCAAAACAAAACTTTAACATCGGAAACAATAACTTTAGCTAATGTCATAATCGTTTTGTTGCAAGTTAAGTATGTTAGCTACATTTTTCATTTTCACACCAACTACTTTTTAGTATATGCTATTAATTTTATCTTGAATATCATTAAACAATTTAAAGTTCATCGGAGGAGGTAATTTCATTAGACCACAAAATTTTTCTAAAGCAAAATGACCTTTTACTATCTCTCTCACACCAAAGACAGTTCTATATTTTATTTCAAATGGTGACATTCCTCAACGTTGCTTTGCAATATCTTTCTTGGAATAAAAAGAATACTTCCAATCGCAGAAGGGGTTACACAAAAAAAATTTAAAAAAAATTAGTTGAGATTTCAATTGAACTATTATGGCATTGTGGACAATGTCCAATTAAAATAATAATTGATTTTAAAATTTCGGTGTCAATAAATATAAAACATAAAGGTAATTTATTTCAATTATTAACTTGTACATTACTATTAATACTACATTGTTTTACTTTTGTTAAGTTACTGACTTCAAGATTTCAGATTTTATGTTAGTAAAATTAGTGATTTCAAATTGAAAAGTCAAATTATTTGTATTGCATACTGATGATACTGGAGAGAACTGATTTCCTCTAAAATATATATTTTTTAAATATCCTGCTACCACCTGATTTTCTCCTTAGTTTTGAATCATTTTTTTCTTTTTCCCATAATAACAAATGTACTGATGAGCAAAGCTAG